TACACTTCCAGTCCTTTCTGAAGACATTTTCTCAAACTCTGCACAAAGTAGGGGGGAGGAATGAAGTCAGGACTCAAAAAAAAAAAAAAAAACCACAACCCCCATCTTTGTTATACATTCAAAATCCCTCTCGCTTCTAACCCTAACTCCCTTCAAAAGATTCTAAATCAACCACAGAAAGCGAAAAGGAGAGAAACACTTCGATTAACTTGAAATCAGAGGTTCGTGTAAAGTACCTGATTTCGGTTTCGAAAGATTTGATGTAGAGATCCCCAGTTGTTACCACAGTTCACGAACAGAAAATGCACAATGAAGCTTCTCGCAGAAGTTTTTGCAGGAAGAGAAATGCAAGTAAACCTTTTTCTGCAGAAAAAATGCCTATTTATACCTCTGGGCGAAATTAGATCTCAATGGCTGAGATTCGTTTGATCTTACGGTCCCTGTTGACACCGTTTGAAATTCAACGGACACTCCCAAACGGTACCGTTTTGAACTTGACGGTTCGTTTTTAAATTTGCCCGTTTAACTGTTGCAGTTACCTTTTTACGGCTGCATTTATTGCACACGTCATTCCAAGGACAACTGTCACACCACGTTATCAGATTTTCCAGACGGGCCCACTCACGCCCATTTCAACACCTTTGTTTACTTTTCTCAATTTTGTCAAGTGTTTCACTTCGGCTCCGACCATATTAATGCTACATTACATTTCACAATTGACTTCGGCCACAGTGATCTTGTATCACACATTTTATTTCGGCGTCGGCCATTATGACTCCGGTCATTATGTTTTATCATGGCTCCGGCCATTTTGATTCCCATTTTTATATTTAAGCTTCACTCAGCACTTCTTTTTACCTGTACAATTACACTTTTAAACTGACATAGTGTTTTACTTCGGCTCCGGCCACAGAGACACATGTTTCACTTCGGTTCTAGTTACTGTAACTACATGTCACATACTTTACCTCGGCTCCGGCCATCATGACTTCAGTCATCATGTTTTATGACGACTCCGGCCACTACGACTCCGGTCACTATGACTCCGGTCATTATATCTTATTATGACTCCGGTCATCATATTTTATTACGGCTCCGGCCATTATGACTCCGGTCATCATATTTTATTACGGCTCCGGCCATTATGACTCCGGTCATCATATTTTATGACCGCCCTGACCTCTATGACTACGGTCATCGTTTTTTTATCACGGATCTGGTTACATTATAACTCCAGTTATCATTTTTTATTGTGGCTCCGGCCACCACGACTTCGGTTATCATCTCTTATTACGGCTTCAGCCACATTGACTCCGATCATTATTTTTACCATAGCTACGGCCACCATCACTCTGGTCACACTTTCTTCTTATCGCACATGGCTATGTAT